TGAAGGCAATTAAGACCTAGAAGATTCACGAGAAGCTTGCAACCTCCCCCTTAAATGTCTAAAAGAAATATACATTTCTTCATTTGTGGGAGAAATGTGCAATTATAAAGGAAATTTACATTGGAAAGGGGGCCTCTACCAAGAAGAGAGCTCCTACCAGAGATAAACCATTTTTACTTAAGAAACTGATCTGTATAACCTTTATTTGCCAAACACTTCCTTCTCTCCCCTTCCTATAAATTGCTCCCCGCCCCCGCCTTTGAAGCCCCAGGCCCCTAACCCTCTCCTTAGCTCAGGATGTTTTATAAGCCTCGGTTGCCCAGTTGCCTTTTGGGTCTCATGTACATGTACACAATTAGGTTTGTTTTTCTCCTGTTAATCTGTCTTATGTCATTTTAATTATTGGACCAGCCACAGAATCTAGAAGGGTACAATAAAAATTTCCTCCCCTACACAAATGCATAAACCAAATGGGTTAGCTAATCTTCTCTTATTATTTGAAACCATTTTTAGGGAATAAGTGAAACAACAAAAATGTGCCAGGTCACAGTACTTGAACATTTTTAGTGTTTTCTCTCTCTGTCTCTCTCTCTCTCTCTCTCATTTACATGTTTTCTCTCCACTTATTTATCCCCTACAGTGTCCACATTATCCAATAATGGCTTTCCATGTTACCAATGTAGGGGAGAGTAAAATAATTTTCCCTCTACCCTTCTAAGTTCTCAGCTGGAGCTCCATAAAAAAAGACAGATTAATAAGAGAACAACAAACAAGTTTATAATGTATAACTATATACAAGGGAAGTACTCAGAAAACTGAGTAACTCTCAGAGGTGGTATACAATTCAGGCTTAAATGCCAACCTTAGTCAAAGACAAAAGGCAGAAGGGGGTAGGGGAAGTTATTTATGGGGAAATGAGCAGCACATGTGGGCTCATCCCACACAATCACTTCATCAGATGATCTCAATGTTTAGATATATTTTGTATAATTTTGAACTTTATGCAAAAAATGTGTAATTGTTCTCTAGCCAGCCTCCTGTTGGCTACCGGCTTCTTCAACACCATCCCTTTGCATTCTAAATTCCTGCAAAACAGGAGTCTCTACTTTGGTTCCAGAGCTGCACTGCCCAAGATAGTAGCTATTAAAGTTCAGATATTTAGGTTTTTTTTAATGAACATTAAATTAAAATAAGTTAACATTAGGTAAAATTAAAAATTTAATTCCTCAGTTTTATTACCTGGATTTCAAATGCTCATTGGCCACATGTAGTTAGATGCTATTATAAGGGAAACAGAACCTTTGAAAATGCTTGAAAGCATAAAGTTGAACAAAAATCAAAATGGCTGCACTAATCCTTCAGCCAAACTTAATTTTAAAGTAATCTTTTCTCTTCTGCAAACCTCCCCTCCTATCTTCTTAGCCTTTTGTTTCAGGAACCTGGTACCACCCTAAAGCTGGCAGTCCAGACACCCTTTCAAAACTGGCTAGATCCTGTATTTCCTTATTTTTAAAAATTTTTAAATGTTTATTTATTTTTGAGAGAGAGTGTGTGTGAGCAGGGGAGGAGCAGACAGAGAGGGAGACACAGAATCCAAAGCAGCCCCCAGGCTCTGAGCTGTCAGCATAGAACCTGACACAGGCCTTGAACACACGAACCACGAGATCATGACCTGAGCCGAAGTTGGACACTTAACCAACTAAGCCACCCAGGTGCCCCCAGATCCTGTTTTTCCTTATAAAACCTCCTACCCACTTCCTCCAGGCAAGATTGCCATTTCTGAAGGCCTTAGCTCACTACAGCCTCCTTTGCCCAACAAAGCAATAAAGCTATTGTTCCTCTTTATCCCAGATTCTGTCTTCACATTACATTTTGGCTCCATGATTTTCAACAACATGTTCAGAATACTTTCATCACTGTAGAAAGTTCTACTGGATAGGAATTGTCTTGTATTTCCCATAATACCTATCATAGCTCACTGTTTACAGAAGATAATCGGGGAGGAGTTAAGATGGCAGAATAGTAGTGGGACCCTATGCTTTTCTTGTCCCTTGAACACAGCTAGATACATATTAAATCATCCTGAACACCCAAGAAACCCATATGAGGACCGATAGAACAAACTGCACACCTAGAGGGAGAAAAGTGGCTACATCATGGAAGGTAGATACCACAGAGAGTTGATTTGAGGGAGAAAAGAATTATGGGTGCTGCAGAGGGGAGGGAGCCCTGATCACGGAGAGAGGAAAGAGGGCAAAAGGAAGAGAGACAAAGACAGAAAGCAGCTCGCAGGGGACTGTACTAGAAAAACTCTTCCCCAGAGCCATTGACTGGGGAAAGGAGAGGAACTGATTGTTGCAAGTTTTTACGAGCAGGGGAGGTAAAAGTCTGAAGTTTTAAGTCCATGCCGTCACCAGGGTGGTGCTGGTGGGCTTAGTGGTGCTCCTGGCGGGAAGGAGGGTAGAGGCCCAGGAGTGGACAGCATGGTCTGAGGATCCCCTGGGTCACCCAGGAGAACCAGTTCCCCTTCTTGGAATGCATTTGGGAGAGATGGCACTACCTCTCAGGGGACTGAAGAGACACGGGCGTCATGGAGTGCTTTGTTAATTAGCATAGCAGTCGGGGCACCTGCTCAGCAGGCAGCTAACCTGGAAGCCAACTTTTGGCTGCATTTCACCGCAAACTCCAAGCCCTTGAATAGTGGTGGGACTGATTTTCTGGGATGAACTGGCACTAGCCACCGCGATACCCTCCCCCAGAGGGTCAGCATGGGTCTGGAACTGCTCCAAGTCCCTAAAGTTTGGAGGTTTTGAAACCCAGCTGCATGACTGAGATAAAACACAGGAGTACCGGCCACCAGGCAGGCAGACGGTTCAGACACACGGTGAAAGCAGGATTCTGAAGAGCCTGGGACACAAGAGGGGAGATTGTTCACTCTTCTGTGAGGGCTTCCTGAATAGCAGTGGGCATAAACTCCCTTCTCCCAAGAGCAGGGCTAGGCCGTTTTTTTCCTGCCTCCCATCAGCAGGGACAGACTTCAGTGAACTACACAGCACCTCCCAGTGGAGGCTAGAGCCACAGACACCAAGCTCTGCCCCACTGCTCACTGCGGGTGCATCTTTACTAGGGCAAGTTCGCCTGAAGACCAGAGCAGCGGATCTCTTCCCCAGAAAACCAGCACAAACCCCAACATGCACCAAGTCTACTGATCATAGAGTGCTGGAAAGCTTCAGCTCTAGTGGAAATAGGGTCAGGCTTATTTTAACAACCAGACTAAGGTACAACGGCTCCACAAACTGGAAAGGTCCAAACACTCCCCACTGCAGGGAAGGAGAAGCTCTGCAGAGAACTGATCTGAGGGAAAGAGCAACCAAAACACAATATCAAAGTGCACACTCTGGAACGCTTCCTGAAGCACCAGGCCCTGGATAGTATAGAACCTCTTCTTAATATAGCAATTACTCTCAGGAGGAGGAAATATAACAGGGTTTCCCAACACACACACACACACACACACACACACACACACACACACACCTAGACAAAATGCCAAAATGGAGGAATTCACCCCAAAACAAAGAACATGGAGAGGTCACAGCGAGGAATCTAACCAAACCAGATATGAGTAATATGCTTGATCTAGAATTTAAAACAATAATCATAAGGAGACTAACTGGGCTTGAGAAAGCATAGAAGACACCAGAGAATCCCTCACTACAGAGATAAAAGAACTAAAAACTAGTCAGGCTGGAATAAAGATTGCTATAACCAAGATGCAAAACCAACTGGATGTAGTGACAATGAGGGTGTATGACTCAGAGGAACAAATAAGTGACATAGAAGATAAAATTATGGAAAATAATGAAGCTGAAAATAATAGGGAAAGAAAAGTATTAGATCACGAATGTAGACTTCGGGAACTCAGTAACTCCATAAAACATAATAATATTTGTATCATAGGAGTCCCCGAAGAAGAAAGGGGAGAGGGGGTAGAGAAGTTTTAAATGAGCACATTAGAGCTGAAAACTTCCCTAATCTGGGGAAGAAAACAGACATTGAAATCCAAGAGGCACAGAGAATTCCCATCAATTTTAACAAAAGCCTGCCCACACCAAGAATATATCATAGTAAAATTTTTAAAATATACAGATAAGGAAAGAATTTTGAAAGCAACAAGGGAAAATAAATCGCTAATCTACAAGGGAAGACAAGTCAGGTTTGCAGCAGGTCTCTCCCCAGAAACCTGACAGGCAAGATGGGAGTGGCATGAACATGTTCTACATGTTGAAGTGGAAAAAATATGCAGCCAAGAATACTTTATCCAGGAAGGCTGTCGTTCAGAGCAGAAAGAGAGATAAAGAGTCTCTCAGACAGACAAAAACTAAGGGAGTTCATGACCACTAAACGAGCCCTGTAAGAAATATTAAAGGGCACTTTGGCGTAGGAAAGAAAGACCAAAAGCAACAAAGACTAGAAAGGAGCAGAGAAAATCTCCAGAATCAGCAACTTTACAGAATATAAATTAAAAATTAAAATAAAAACAGATTGTCAACAAGTGAGTAGGTAACAAATAATATAGCATAACAAATAACATAGTATTACTAGTAAGACTACTATTACTAAGATCAAGAAAAGTCACATTTATAATATATCATAAAAGACCTTGAAAGGTTAGAATGGGAAAAGATAAGATATTCTGAGACATTTTTTTTAAAAACACCAACAATAAAAGCAAAAGAGAATACCTGCCCTATTTATTTTCACAATTGTGTGTGTGTGTGTGTGTGCGCATGCGTATGAGAATAAAATGAGAGGCTCCATGAATTATAAAGCCTTAGACAAGTATGAGGGGTTTTTAGCAGAAATTACAACAACATGAACAGCAATTTGGTGATCATTCCTGGCTATAAGACAAAAGGAGATGGGATGGTGATGCAAAATTGTTTGAGTTGCAGTGGACTGTTTTCTTCATTATTTTTTCTTACTATATTTCCCCCTAGCATTTGCATATTCAGCCTCTTCTTTGGATCCGAACCCACAGGAAACACTGAGAAATGTGGCTGCTTTCAGAAGCATCAAGTTGTACCTCCAAACAAAAGCTTCATGCCCTGCAACTCGCTGGGCTTGTAGACAGGAATCCCTCTTCATCGGGTGAGCAGCATTCTTCGGGTCTGAATCGCATCTCCAGAAAACTAGTTGCCCCAGCAGAGCAGCCTCAGACTCTGTCTCCAGGAACTCCCAGTCAACGGCTGCCCTCCAGCACTGGCATTGGACTGTCTGTAGCTTTTTCTCCATTCCTTTTTCTTTTAAATCGATTGCAGGGGTCGCAAAGTAACAGCTTCTGGGAGGATAGACACGACAGTTTTGCTCAACACGATGTAAAGTTTTTATAGGAAATTTTTGCTGCTTCATGTATAATTGAATAAAAACATAATGAATGTCTTTATTAGTGGAACTATAAACATCATAGAAAGACATTCAGAGTTGGAAGAAGCATGAAGAACCATGTAGCTCCACAGATGAGGAAAGTCCTGTTGAGAAATGGTCACCCAGTCTCTACTTAGGAAGTACGTGTATATGAGGGAGTGTCCTAAGCAGGAAATAGAGGCCACACTCTGACTGGGTAGGCAGAAAGTGGCTGTTTACTAAATTGTGGGCAGGTGTTATGGAAACCGGAAAGGAGTAGTGAACGGCTATAAGACTAGTGGTATCAAGGAGTCCCCTATCTACCTTGTGCCTGAAGGGGCATTAGGAGTGGGAGGCAGCGGTGCTGGAAGTCTGAGAGGGTCGCTGTGCTGGGCTGCTATGACAAAATACAATAGATGGGGCGGCTTGAACAACAGACACTTGTTTCTCACAGTTCTGGAGGCTGGAAAGCCCCAGCTCAAGGGGCTGGCAGATATGGTTCCTGGTGAGAACTGGCTTCCTGGCTTGTAGACAGCAGCCTTCTTCCCACATATCCTCACATGGCAGAGAAAGACCAAGCTCTGGTATGTCTTCCTCTTCCTATAAAAAAGCTAATCTCATTGCGAGGGCATTACCTTCATGATGTTTTCTAAGCCTAACCACCTCCCATAGGCCCTACTTCTAACTATCATCACTTTGGGAGTTAGGGCTTTACATACGAGCTTGGGGGGACGTAAACACTCAGTCCGTATCAGTAGCAGTGGAGAGGACTGACTGATAAGAACTATCACCGTCAATAGAGGGATGCAGACAATTCAAGGCAATATGACATAAGGAAAGCCAGGGGAGTAAGTACCCTGATCTCACTCGCCACCAGTCCTACCATTGGCCAAACCCACTAAGAAGCAGCAGGGTAAGGTGGCCGGTGGTTGTAGTTCATATCAGTCACCCTCTTTTGGCACAGAGCAGGGGAGATAAGGATCTGGAGAGGCAAATAGGAAATACCCAACCAGCCTCTCAGACCCTTTTCCCCCCTGGATTGACTAAATGTGAGAATACTATAAGGCTCTTAGCCTAGTGCCCAGTGTTTTAGAAATAAAAAACAGTATAAAATAAAATAAAAACAATAAATAAAAATAAAATAAAAGCAATAAAAGCAGTATACTGGGTATAAATTTTATAGTTCCAGCCCTTGTTACTAAGGTGTACATATATTCAGCTTTAAAAAAAAAGAAAAAAAAAAAAAAACGCTTAAAAACTGAGTTTGGATCTCAAGCCCCCAATTTCTGTTGACTACATTGCAGAAAACATAATCTTACCAAGTCATTATAATTCATTTTCTTTAGATATAACTTATCTTCTTTCAATAAATTGCCACATTCAGTGTTTTCTCTTCTACTTTCTGCTCCCTTTCTCCCCTTCTCTCCAAGTGTGATCTAAATTTCTTGAAGGGTCTTATGAATTCTCTATATATTGATAGTTTATGATTCACTCTCATCCTCTGTTCTCTCCTATAATATTATCACCTCTTCTTTCCCAGCTCTAAGGTTTCTAACATCACTGTACGCTCTCAGTCTTCCAGTTATCCTTAATACTCACAAGCAAGCCTTGGAATTAAAAATAAACAAAATGAAAAATCTTTCAGCCTCACTTGTCCCCTCAGCTAGATACACAGGTGCAGTGAATGCTCTGTACAGGTACACATGGCCGTCTTTAAACTTGATATTGAAGTGTTTTATTCAGAGTCAAATGTCATAGAATTCTTCTTGAAATAACTGAATTAAATAGTAGAGGTGATGTTTAATCAAAGACAAACAGCCAGCTATGATCCTCTTTAATATAAAACTGATTTTTTTTGGTACTTCATATTTATTAGAGAGTGAATAAAACTGACCATCCAATAGCTACACATCAGAAATATTTGGCATACTTTGTCAGGAGAGACTTTAATTTTCAAAGATGTGCAAGTTTGAGGTTTGGCTCTTCACTGGGCTTTTGCCTCCAGATCATAACACTTTTTTTCTCTTTGGCCTCACTGATATAAAAATGGAAATCAGTTGGCTGGAATCTCTGGGATTCTGTTTGGTATACGCTGCAAGAGGATGAAGGAAGATGGCCAATGATAATACTTTGATTTTTAAAATGTATTCTAGAGGGTTATTTGCACAGTTTCAAGAGCTCTGAATATTGGTATTTTGACATTTTGAAAGAAGATTAATAAGGTCGGTGGGTTGTGTCAGTATTCAAACTGGGAAAGAAATGTGCTGATTCTAGACTTGAAGGTCATCACCTAAATCCAGTTAATGACAAAGGAGTGTGTGGAACTACAACAGTCATGAGTATTTAGCTCGTCTGCCTGCCCTTTGTGATTAGTTCTGAACAGGTGAGAGACTAAAGCTGAGGTTCCTTTGTCCACGTTAACCTGTGTGCATCCAATAGAAAAATAAGAATAACGAACATTTGTCCTCAAGACACACACCTAGAGAGTCCAGGAGTAATTAATGTAAGATCCTTAGTGGCTGAGGGCTTTGGTAAATTACATAATATAGCAAGTATTTACATATAACTTCATTGCTAGGACACAGTGTATTCTCAACATATTACTATTGTTACCTCTTGAGAGGTAGTGCTTGGTGCTCACTGGGTAAAAAGAGAAGACTCTGTGTAAATGGTAGAGAGATTATAAGCATAAATACTTCTTTAATGCTTTCTCTGTTCCAGGCTCTGTGATAACACATTACATAAATTAATTTAATTCTCCCAACAACTTTATGATATGGTTACTATTCCGAGTATTCCCATTTTACTGATGAGGAAACTGATCCAGAATCATTTGTTTGTCTAATACTTAACTGAGTGTCTAGCATGTACCTGATAATGGCCTAAGAATTAGGAATACCTCAAAGCATCCCTGCCTTCATGGAATTTACTATCTATGCTGAGAGATACAAAACAAACTGTAAAAATGTAAATTACATGGTAAGTTAGAATGTGATGAATCCTACTGGAAAAAGTAAAGCATTAAAGAAGGAAAGGTTTCTGTGTGTGTGTTTGTGTGCATGTGCATGCCATTTAAGGGATGTTGTGAAAAGATACTCAATATCACCAGTCATCAGGGAAATGCAAATTAAAACCACAATGAGATATCACCTGCACCTGCCAGAATGGCGAGACTCAAAACAACAAGAAATAACAAGTGTTGGTGAGGATGTGGAGAAAAAGGAACCCTTGTGCACTGTTGGTGAGGATGTAAATTGGTGCAGCCGCTGTGGAAAACAGTATGGACGCTCTTCAAATAGAAATAGAAATACCATATGATCTAGTAATCCCACTGCTAAATATTTACCCAAAGAAAACAAAACCACTAATTTGAGAAGATATATGCACCCCAATGCTTATTGCAGCATTCTTTATAATAGCCAAGATATGGAAGCAACCCAAGTGTCTATTGACAGATAAGTGAGCAAAGAAGCTGTGGTATACATTCCATTGTATATATGTATATGTATATACAATGGGATTTTACTTGGCCATATAAAAGGGTGAGCTCTTGCCATTTGCAGCTACACAGAAGGGCCTAGAGGCTACTATGCTAAGTAAAATAAGTCAGAGAAAGACAAATATATAGTGATTTCACCTATACATGAATCTGAAAAAAACAAAGAGCAGAAACAGATTCATAAATACAGAGAACAAACTGATGGTTGCCCCATGGGTAGGGCTTAGGGGAAATGAACAAAGTGGGTGAAGGGGAGTGGGAGGTATAGGCTTCCAGTTATGAAATGAATAAGTTACAGGGATAAAAGGTACACATATGGAATATTGCAATAGTATTAGAACAGTATAGTATGGTGACATATGGTAGCTACACTTGTAGTGAGCACAGCATAACAAGTAGATGTGTTGAATCAGTACATTGTATGCCTGAAACTAACATAACATTGTTTGTCAATGATACTTCAATAAAAGAAAAAGGGGGAAAGTTAAAAAATAAAGGATGATGACTAAGGAAAGCCTCACTGAGAAAGGGACTTTGAACAAAGATTGAGGGAGATGTAGAGAGACCCATATAGTAAACCTCTGGGAGAAGAGTGTGTCACAAAGAGTAAACTGCCAAGTACAAAAGCTGTGAGGAGCTGCCTGGACTGTTGCAGACAGACCAGGGAGTCTCCAGGGGGGAAGTAAAAACAGGTATGCTGGGGAGGAACAGAAGTTGGAGAAGTAGGAGGAAAGGCCAAATCCTGTGGGCCTTGCAGATATTCACTTTTATGGAGCTGAGAAGCCTTGAAAGGATTATGAGCAAAGAAGCTACATGGTCTGACTTCTATTGTAAAAATATCATCTGGATGTCATATTGAGAATAGACTATGTGTGGGCAGGGAGGAGATGGTTGCTTGTAGGACGGGGCAGAAACCACAGAGATGGGTTGGGAGGCTATTATAATAATCTGGGAAATCTGGCGACCATTAACAATAACCCAAGAGAGTAATGGAGGAGAATGAAGCAATGTAGTTGCTTGGGAGGCAGTAAGAATCACGAGATTCTAAGCATCTTCTGTAGGTGAAGTCCACAGGATTTGCTAATAGATTGGGTGAATATGAGCTGGAAAGAGAAGAGAAGGAAAATGTTGACTCCAAACTTTCTGCCCTGATCAACTGGAAAGGTGAGGTTGGCCTTGACTGAAGTTGAAAAGGACTTAGAGAGGACTCAGGAGTTCAGTTTGGATAAGCTAGCTTTGACATGACTATAAGACATCTGTGGGGGGGCCTGGGTGGCTCAGTCGGTTAGGCATCCGACTTTGGCTCAGGTCATGATCTCGCAGTTAGTGGGTTCGAGCCTCACGTCGGGCTCTGTGCTGACGGCTAGCTCAGAGCCTGGAGCCTGTTTCAGATTCTGTATTTCCCTCTCTCTCTGACCCTCCCCTCCTCTCTCTCTCTCTCAAAAATAAATAGAACATTTAAAAAAA